GTCCCCACCTGGCTGCTTTTTTTTGGTAAAAAATACCCCACGTTGTAGGAAAAACCCGTACACGAACACAGTATTTGCAAGGGAGTTTCCAGAATGTCTCCAAACAATTGCAGGGGTTTCCCAGTTTTCTCACAGCAGTCTCACAGGCTTGCAATTATGTTGCTTGACTTGCGAACGTGCTCAAGAAATAATTTGTTACAGCTGTATGTGACAGAAAACATTCTTAGTTCTAAATGTCGATAATAAACAATAATTAAAATAAAATCAAGTCCAAATATTCAAATCAGGAATCTTTAATTAGTTACATAAACACAGGGGCAGTTCACAAGGTGGGTATGTTGTGGTCAGAGGTGGGCAATGAAATATTGTCCACAGTGTAGAAGATGCAGTTTTACAAATCATGCACATAGAAAAAGACCTTTACATTCAAAACCTGGTCCCATAAAATGCTGGTTCCTCAGTCGCAGACTCCCATAATTCAGTGAAACTGCAACAGAAAATGTAGTATTTTCTCACAAGACTGAGTCATCAGGTAGTCTCCAGCACCTGCAACCAAGTGGGATGCATCTTCTAAGAGTTCGTTTCCTCCCTTCTAACACTGACTCCCACCACCACAAATGATTTTTAGGACTTGTCTTTAAGTGGGTCAGATGAAAAAAAAAGTTACTTTACTCACTTCTTGCTAGTAATCCTCCTAATCTACAGGAAGAACTCTTTGATGATGTTCTGCACTTTCATCTCACCTCAGTTCGTCTCTTTTTTCTTTGTTGTTGTTGAAGAGAACAGTCTGATGCGATGCCTTTTCATCTTCGACTTTCACCATTTCTCCTTTTCACTTTGGCCCAATTTCTGAATTTTTGTTTCACTATTGCCATTTCCATTTCTGTTTAAATATATATGTGTGTCTTTCATCATTTCAGGTGGTTTTTCTGAGACATATGCTGCCCTTTGCGACTACAATGGAATCGGCTGCAAAGAAGAAGTGCAGTGGGTGAGAAGACTTTACTGGCTGTAGGAAAATACTGATATGTTGTGATTTGGCAACGAAATGAGGAAAAAAATATATCAGCCTTAAAATACTTCTGTTTATAGTATTTTTTTTTCTTTTTTTAGGATGTTGACACGATCTACCACTCTCAGGACAACCGGGAGTTCAACCTACTGGATTTCAGCCATCTTGACAGCAGGTGACATAGTTTACTGATATGCTTATTAGTGCTGTACTGACTTTAAAAAACACAAGTAATTGATGCCAAACTTTGACAGCAGCAGTACATAGTACAGACAKTCTTGGCTCTGGTTCTAGGTTTGACATGTGGCAGTGAAAATGAGGCTAAAGTGGTGATTTATCTGTGGGTGTTTATGTCCCCACTRAGGGGGCATTTAGTAATTAGAAAAAACAACACAAACATACATTTAGCGTTCGTCAATTCCGCTGCAGTCGATATCTGGCTGAGGTCTGCACTCGTCCGTCACTTTGTAACTCTCTGCCAGATCCGTCCTGCGACAACCTCCAGGGTTTTTCTTTTAGTTTCTCTCCACGCTCACACTCATCTACGTGACTTTGTCAGTCACGATATTCAGCTGCCAGGCTCAATAAAACAATTGATTTTCAAGGTCATGGATGTTTGGAAATTTGAAAACACCTATTTTCACAAACATAGTCTTCTACATCCTTCATAGTCCTCTAAAATGTGTCAAGGGCTTGAACACTAGAACTTTTCTCATTGCTATAACTTGTTCAAGTCAAATCGTGAACCTGAAAGTCTAACATTTTGAATAGCTTAATTTGCAGTTATTTTTTGTGTGCAAAAATTAATTTAGCAAAGAACAGAAAACAACTATAATGTGACTGAAATTGTCCTGTCTTGTTTGAGGGAGTTATATGTCTAAGACTTGTTTATCAGTGGCATGCTTGTCAAGTTTTATGGATTGTCTGTAAATTACACAGATTTCCTCCCATTTTCTATGACTATGGACAGAGGAAGTCTCACAGATTTTTCAAAAACTCAGTTTCAAATTTATTTTACATCTAGGTTACAGCCTACCTATGGGCGGTTGTGATGTATTCTTGCATTCAGAGTCTCCTACATGCTAATTTAAATATCAGTGTATCGAAATGGTTGTTTAGGCCCTCCTCCTTTSATTGACATATTTTTTGACCAACTGGGTTTATCTATGGACTCTCCAGAGTCAATCATCTAGAAATTTGTTTAGCAGGGTGCTATAAAGAGAAAATAAATCTGTTACAAGGTTGTTACAAGCTCATCCAGGGGGAGCTCAGAGTAGAGCCTCTGCTCCTCCACATCGAAAAGAGTCAGTTGAGGTGGTTTGGGCATCTGATTAGGATGATTCCTGGACACCACTTATTAGAGGTGTTCAGGGCATGTTCCACTGGTAGGAGGCCCCGGGGAACACCCAGGACTTGCTGGAGGGATTATGTATCCTCTCCGGCCTGAACGCCTCGGGGTCCCCGAGGACGAGCTGGAAAATGTCGCTGGGGAGAGAGATGTCTGGGTATCTCTCCTGGACCCGAGTACGGATAAGCAGAAGAAGATGGTGACAAGGTTGTTGATTTGTTCATGACAAAGAAAAGGGAATTTTCTGATGAGGAAATTCTCTAAAAAAGGTGAATAGTTATGCATAGTTGAGAGTTTGTGTTGTCTGAGAGTAATACAGCTTTCTTCGGTTTAATGAAGGTCTAACAGGTAGACATCTGAAGGGGTTGACATATATGAAGTGTACTCCCACAAAGTATCTCTGAGCACCTAACTTCCATCTGGTTTTTAATCCTGRTTTGATTATGTTTAATTGATGAGTWAATATATTTTCTGATGTGGCACACTCAGTGCACATTATTTGCCTGCTTTGGTCTCACTTTAAMAGACATTTCTACTATACTGATACCATGAAGTCATATCTGGTGAAGGTGCATTCTGAYATTTGTATGACTGATCATTTTAACCTGAACATTTCAGTTTAAAGGTCACTGTCCCAAGCTAAAACCTAACTTCTATACACACTGAAATAACTGTTCTCCGTTGCATTATTAATGTATTGTTCAGAGCAGTGGCACAATCCTCTTTGCTAATGCCAGAACCAAGAAAACCCTTCTGTGCTCTCATGCTGCATGAGCATTAGAAATTGGATTCAATTAAACAAATGATATACTTCAGCATTCAGTCAGTTTATAAGCTTGTAAACTTTCTACTGCTGGATTTTATTGCTGCAGTTCCCGATTGGTCTTTCTGGGTGACAGAATACTGAATGGCTCTTCATGTCAGTGAAAGTCACAAACTGCCTCCTTCAGTCTCAAAGGGTTTGCAGACAGAATGTAAAATGTGGGACCACGTCTGTGCGCACAAAAAGCTCATACTGTCTGAAATTGGACTTGAATTTGTGGCATATTGAGTCAAAAAATAACTGAACTGAAACTAGCTTTCCTTGAGGGTRTGCATATTACCAATTACCTTGCGTGCTACACTTTTCAACTAAGATCTCACCTGATCTTTTAGTTCAATTATGTTAAGAATGACTCTCAGCGACTACCACAYCATGATYGATATCYGTTAGAGATGGACTAAATGGCTGTTTGAAGGGATCTGAATCTTGAGRAGCCTTTTGTTTCATAGAGACGTTCAATTTTGAACGAGTTACATTATCATATATATACATCGTCGTGTCACATGGGCGGAACAGTGTGTTTTGTCAAGTGAAAATCCCTCCCAATTCCCCTAGCAAGATCGCTTGTCTTTGTGGTCTCTAGCTATGGCTATTGTTTTGTTTGTTTTGTTGGACTTATTAATTTTGGTTAGCCATGGGAACCATCTTGAATGAGGTTGATTGATGTGCATTCATTGATTAATTTTTGTGAGTTTAATTAAAATCTGTTCAGTTGTTCATATTTTGGTAAAAGACGAACCAGGTTACCTGCAATAGTTGATGCCATTTTAAACCTTTTTTTCCTCAGGATTTGCTAGAGCGTTAAGTATTTGTAGGGAACAAGTCTTAGTTTTGATTATACCAAGTTTTAGCTTATTATCTTTTAAATTTACTGAGTTATAGCCATTTTTGTGYTTGCAAAAGTTGATAGCTGTGGCAGCCATGTTGAATCGTGATGATTATTGAAGATAGTCAGTTGCAGATGTACATTTAATGATTACTTTCAGAGAGTTTTATTCAAATTTGTCAACAGGTTTAGGAGCTATTTTGCTAATAGTCAGATAGTAACACGTAAATAAAATCTACCTTCCATATAGGGCCATTCACCTTTTAGAGGCTGTACATGGATGCAGAATTGGAGAATAAAAGGTTATGTAAGTGAAGCAGAAATTCAGCACTGAAATGTCAGTTTATTGTTTTATATTATTTTTATTTCCTGGGTACAGACCCATAATAATAATAAAACACATATGTGTCCTAATCCTTTCTGACTGCACTGTTGTTTCATTATAGGCTTCCCCTCAGTGTGCATCACGATGCTGTGCAACGTTTCCCAGATGGTGCAGTTCATCATGCTGGCTGTCACTTTTTATGACGGGGTGGTTTTTATTTTTTTATTTTGGTCTAACAAGTTCCACTCTGAGCAAAACATTGAGCAGAAGTCTTTTCTTCAGTGTTCATCTCACTTTCTGTTTTGTGCTTTCCTCACAGAACTCTGATAATCTCAGAATCCAGAAGGGAAATAATATACTCGTCAAAGGCAAAATCAAGAGCTCAAACAGCTGTAAGATGTTTTGTGCAAGCTTTTTAAGTCTATTTCTTCACTCGCATATTCCCGAAGAATGGATATGTGGTTTGAGCCTTGCAGATCTTAAAACAATTTGACAACTGACATGTGTATGGATAATTCAAAGCAGCTTATGTATTTTTTTATATTATTATTTTTTTATCTGCAGAAATGAGAGTAGGAAAAAAGTTCTTGCTTTAAAATTTTGTGTCTCATCAAATGAGTGAAGTCTTGCTGTGCTGAGAAATGATAAAGATGGTCATAAAAACATGGTTCAGCAGTGAGTCATGAATATATTAATGCCTTTGGGATTGAGCGCCCAAACCATTGGCTAAGTTTTATTTTTTTCACTTTACTGATTATTTCTTTTTGGTGCAAAGATGATACGCACATTCAGCTGATACTTTTCCTGTTTAGTAATTGTGTGTGCAAAATACAAGTCTAACTGATCACAGGATCAGTGACAGCTTAACAGATGCACATAATTCCAGCTCTCTTTCTACTTGTTTTGTCAGATTAGTGTCATATCAACAGTACTGTTGCCAACTCCTCAGTAAGAAAAATATCTAGTTGCTGTCCTAATATTACTAGAAGTTGCTAAATGCATACATGTCAACGCTTTTAGGCATTTACCTGTATCTTGACCCTCAAAAAAATGTCATTTTTACAAAAAATCTGTAGTACTAAAACACATGGAAGGGTGCACCGTTGGTCATGGGAAAGACAGCATGTGGGGCAGAGATAACATGTCAAGTTATGGATTGTCTGTAATTTACAGAGATTTTCCCTCATTTTGCAGGTATGCGGACAAATAGAGAAATCTCATGTTCTCATGTTCAATCTCAATGTTAAACAGAACTAAAGAGAGTAAAAACACTCTAAATATATTTAAAATATAAATTCAATGACTTTAATGCTTAGATCCACATTACGTACRTCAATTTTGTAAGAAGATTAAATTTAACCAAAACACTAGATGTGACAGAGGCACACACAGTCGATGAGGTAAAGCGGAGGCAGAGGCTCTGAGGAAAATGYAGCTGGGTTTAGGGGTTTATTTTAGTGCAACAGAATCAGAGAAAAAAAAATATTGCAATAAAAATTACATCCCGCTGTGAAAACCAGGACAGGTGCAGCAGCAGCTTTGCATRTCCGTGTTTCATTTGCACCGGTGGACACAGAGCGGAGCGTGGGTCTCCTCTCTGCTCTGACTGCAGCTGGGGTCGTTGTGTGAGGCTTCCGTGACTCGGACCTTTTGCCAATGCTTTGGAAAGGGGGAGGGGCTCATGGCACCACACGCTGCTCACTGAGGAAAGTTAATTTGGAAACAACAAAAGAAGCCTCCAGATTTGATGCTAGTAGCTTTTTTAGCAACAAAGTTATTAACGGGTCTGAAAACTCATTAAATCTATTGCGAGAAAGTTGCTAAATTGGCAACACTGATCAACAGATCAACTT